TATTAAGAAGAAATTCTCATTTAAGGAAACACAAACTTGTTATATCAATTTAACTTCTTCAACTATTTCAGTGATGTTGCATTAGCAATGAAGAAACAGGGATACGATGAAGAAATAAGATCTAATGTCATCTGACTGGCAAATCTGATAGGCAACGCATGATAGTAAATCAATGAAGCGACACTCCCTCGTCGAGTATCTGGGCTAAGCTTTAATCGATACGATTCCTTGACATAATTCTCATTAACGAGAGTGCGCGATACCAGCTGATGTACTGATAAACGCCATAAATGCTAGTTCCTTGGCTGCCGCGATTCGTGGGAAGAGGGTTAGAGGGTCATCAACATAAAATAGAAGATTCATTTGCATTCCTCTTGATACCTTAGGAAATTACCTCTACTCTGCCAGGATATTTAACTCTAATTGCATGGAATAATTTTAAGAAAAGGAATAAATTATCATTAGTTTCATATTATTTGCTAATAAATATATTTTCTATAGTAAAAGTATATATTTATATATTTTTTATAGCAAAAGTATATTACTATTGATAATTTTTAAATAGAGTTTCACTTATTTATACAAGTGTCTATTAATAGATACTGTATTTAAATCCAAATTAGATATAATAGATGAAGAAAAAAAAGAAAGAAAATTTAAAGATTAAAATTTTAATATCAGACTTTTATCTTTAAAACTTAAATGTATAATAATAATTATACATAATTAGATTTTAATGAAACATTTAAAATGTGGGTGCAATTAGCTTAAACGTTGTTTCAATGTGAAAATAGTTTGATGTAAATCTTCAAGAGAGAAGAAAATTAATTTGCAAACGACAGTCGCGAAACTTGTCATGTCGAAGAACTAACAATGTGTTCTCATTGTCATTAATTAAGAACGTCAGGAGAACATTGAAAGTGGTGAAAAGAAGAAGAAAAAAATCGATGTTACGACTGTCAGTTCCACAGCTGTGTCTAACGAAGCTCGGATAGAAACTCCGGTAGTACGGAAATCGAACCAATTATAATTAAAAGTTGTAAAACGAGAAGAATCTGTTAGCTCTTTTCTATCTCTAATTTTAATTTTTTAATTTCTACGAATTCTAAGAAATCATATTACTTACATTCTTCAATAATTTTCTTAATTGTTATTAATATTTTATAATATAATTCTTATATATATATATATTGTATATATAAGAAAAACAATGATTATAATTTTAAAATAAGATTAAAAGACATTTTTTGATTTTAGTTAATTTTAGAGATATTTATTGTTTATGACTGAAAAAAAGTTTAAAGATAGATTAGTAAGTACAAAAGTTAAAAGTTCTAAAAATCCTGCCACTTTGAAGCAATAATCCAGTAATATCGTTGTTCTTCTAGTTTGAGAGAAGAGAATAGAATTTTTTATATCGGCCAAATTATCGAGTGGATTGTTGGTCGAGGTTTAACAATACTTTTTTTTTTGGCCGAAACAACGGGTTATTTTCATGTAACTCGTAAAACTCGAATGTAATATTAGTACAAAAAGCTGGGAAGTAGGCCACCCGTGTAAATGACTTCAAATGAAACGCATTCTTGCATCCAGACAAGTTTTTTTTCTTCGTACAATGGTCGCTGGAAGAACCAATGTTTTATATTATAGATCTTAAAAAACTTGAATCACTTTATTAATTGTTATAACAATATATTTTTTAAATATTTAATTATTAAATCTTACTTAAATTAAGAAATTTAATTAAATAATAAAATTTCAAAAATATTTTTTCTCTAATTTTCTTCATTCATTTAGAAAATTCAATTTTGATAAATTAAAAAAAAAGCATAAAGCTTATTAGAATAATAACACAATATTTCAAAAATGTATTTTAGAATTATTATTATCACAAAGATAATAATTTCCAAAAATTAATAGAAGAACATAAAGGAGCAAGATCATTTATTTAATTATTTCATTATTTTTATTTTTAAAGATACACAACGCAAAAATACAGTACAAGATGCGGTAATATGATCAAGTGTAACTAAAAATACCATGAGAGGAAATAATAAAAATTGCAGAGATAAAAAGGAAGTCATAAAACGTCGAGCTTCTAGTGAGTTAAAGACACTGGCAGGCTAAACTTATTTCTGAAAAAGACAAGGCGTCTGAAATTCCCGTTTCTGTTTTGGGGCTATCAAACTGGAGAGAAACTTCGCCAAGCTTTTTCCCAACCTCGACAATGGCCCAGTGAAATAAAGACACGAAGACTTTAATAACAGAGACCAGCAAGGGAAGGCAGACAAATAGCCGGCTTTCCCTTTGTGCCGTGAAAGAGGCGCAACCTCTTTTTCTTTCTCTTTTTCTCTCTCTTTTTATGTTATCCCACCAAAGATCCTATCCCGCCAGAAATTTCGTTTCAAGGCCTTGAAGTATCGTTAATTTGTATGGAAATACAGGATGGATTATAAACCATAGGTTGGCTTTCTTAAGATATCTTGAAGGCAAATTATTTCACGAAGAGATGGTGAATAATAGTGAAAATCATTTTTTAATATTTATCGCGATGTTTTCTTTCATTCTAGTTGTATTTATTCTGTTATTATATATATTTTTAATATATATATATATATTTTTGTATTTTTATACATATATATTATTTATCCCAACAATAGTTGATTTATAGTGCTTGATGAAATAATGGTTGATCTATACTACTTATCGAATAATATATTTATTACATTTTATGTTATAATATAATATTATATATTTTTAAGTTTTTATATTTGTTATTATGTACAATACAATATATAGAAATACAAAAAAATAAATATATAATATGACATATAGAAATATTAAAAATATATAAAATATATATCAAAATTATAAATATAAATATATAGATCCCCGGCGATATATAAATTTTGTTAAAATTTGTAATGAATAGTTTTAACAAGACAAATCATAAAACTAATCAATTGGTGCTATTTCTTAAATAATTTTATGAAAATGTAGACAAAGAGAGTAAATAGAGAGAAAAAGACAGAGATAATGTAAAAATATGGAAATCAGCGCCATCTCCAGAGTGCCATAAATGAAACACAAAAAAATAGATAGGATAAGAATTGATATGCAGCGCCATCTCTTGAAAACTAAAAACATCTATTTAAAGGATAAGGTAGAATAAAAATTAAAGATAAATCAAAATATAGTGTTCAAAAATGACACTGAACTCTTATTTTAGTTTATCCTGTTTTTAAATATTAAGCACTCAAGAAATAGCCTTATTAATCGATTTTTAAATTTATATTGTAAGATTCTACTAATAATATTCTGTTGTCGATAATAGTTTACAAGTTTGAAGATTTTTCAAAGAGATGGCGCTAAATAAATACTAAATATAGTTTACATATTTAATTAGGCAGATTAATTTTTTTTATTTATTTTATTATTTATTTTATTCAGATGCATAAATTCAATATGTCTCCTTTGAATATTTTTTTCCTAATTAATACCTTGCATCATAGAAATATGAAAAGAATATGAAATATGAAAACTTTGTATTAAATTTACATAGAGGGGGTGACCATAAATAACTTCATCTGAAAGAAACAATATAACCTATTTATAGATTGAAATAAATAATTTTAATAATTATTTAAAAATAATAAGAAAAATGACAGATTATTTAGCAAAACCTGCTTTCGTTGTTGGAGAAATTGATGAGGATCTTAACCTATCCTTACCTCCAACTTCCGGAGAAGAATACATTAAAAGAGTAGTGTAAGTAAAAGATTAAACAATTAACAAAAAACGAATAATTAAATTTATGATATTATTACAGAATAGAAGCGCAGAAATGTGCTGATATTGTAGTAGCCGACATTGATCGGAAACATTTTGGGAAACCTACAATTGATGTCGAACCTGTAAGTTTGCAAACGATGTTTTACAATCGTTTATACGAGAAATTAGAATTCTACACTTGTTAGAATTTAAACAACATATATAATAATTATGTAAACGCAACGTTATAAGTTATCAGGCTGTATGGAGGCACCACCATGGCTTGGCCCTTCGCTTGATTGGCAGTTATATCAAGTATCAGACTTTTCCAATATCAGATTATATATAAGTCAATTGAAAAATGAAATTCAATCATTAAAACGTAAATGGAAACGTCCAAAGATTGATATGGTATTTATTAAAATTTTTTGAATGTTTGCTATATATTTGCCTTAATGTTAATCTTAATTTTACAGCCAAGTATTGATGATGAAAAAGGTTGGATCAAATTTTGTTCAAGTAATGATAAGGAAAAAACAAGAATTGCTCCAACATTGGATATCATCTTTTGTTTAAATCATCCAGAAGTAGAACAAATATTAGAATATTTAGTGGAACACATTGAAACACTGGAAAAGATAGAATATGAATTGGGTCAATGGATATATGCATTGCTAGTTGTTCTGCAAATGCCACTAACTCCAGATACATGTTCCTGTTTAAGATCTTTGGCTAGAACATGTTCAATCATGCGTGCAAAATCGGTAATAAAGAATATTAGAAAAGCAATATTTTTTATTTTTTAACAAATCAATTTTATTGCATATTTGTATATTAAATTTGTCATTGACATTAATCAGGAAGTAAATTAAAAATTAAAATAATAGTTCAAAAAAAATTCATCATTTATATTAAAATGAAACATAAAAATTGTTTACAGATTTTTTTTTAATTAATTCACCATTTAACAAGCAGAAGATTCCAACTTCAGAATTCTGATTTAAATTAAATTTCCATATGCATTAAATGAAATTTATTCATAAAAATTAATAATTTGATTTTGAATTTAAATTTTCAACAAACTACTTTATATTTTGCACTTATTAATAAATTTAAATAAAAAATTATTTATTTTTCTATTTTATTTTTCTAATGTTATCAACAAATGCAAAACGAAAAATAACTTGTTTTAAAAATTTCGTAAAAATCAATAATCCGAAGTTGGGTCATTTCTTGTAAATTTTAATTGTGTCTACTTTTTTATTCTTTTTTTTCGTTTATTTTTTTAGAAGAAACTGGAAATACATGAAATAGGAGCACTGAATTTATTTATATGTCTAGTTGCGAGATATTTCCGTCAATTGGATTTGGCCGATCCTTAAAACCATCTAATTTTTATTGAAGTGCAATTTAAATTATTTACTTTGTGTATGATTTAATAAAATCGACCTTTTAATACATTTGTATTGTTTTTTTGCACACCTTTCCCTTTACTTAAAATATACTACTGGTTATTAGGGTACAATGAGGCAACATTTTTTAATTAAATAAAAGTGTATTACAATAATCAAATAATAAGTGAGAAATTGAAAAACCGAAGTTTATTCTTAAGCTATATTCTCTTGGTCCTGAAGAAGTGCAGTTGCTAATCTTTCTAAGTCATCATAACTAAGATTATTCACTTTATTCTTTAGGTCTTTTATCAATTCATTGATTATTGACTCTGTTTCTGATTCTGTATAATAATGCCTCAGAACTCTAGAAATTTCATCTCGTAAGAGATACATGCCAGACTTGCTATGTGAAGCCTTTCCCTCACTAGATCCTTCTTCTGTCTTTTTAATAACCAAAAGATTTAACTTGCTTCCATCTTTGATTCCTGGATAAAAACTCAGTGGATTTTCATCTGAAAATTTGTTTCATCAAAATATTAAATTGTTAATCTAAAAAAATTAACTAATATTTTCTTTGTAGTTTGAATCTCACCAGCTAATGCTTTGCCCGTAAGCAATAGTCTCTGATGTGGAACATCTATACCCAAAAGATCGCTGACTTTGTGCTTTAACTGAAGAACTGTATCCGAAGGTGTAATCTATTACAATAAACAATTACTTAATAAAATTTCAACATGCCATAAAATGTATTTAAGCAGCATTAAAACCATTTTAAATGTGAAAAGACATCAAAATTAACTGATTATTTTAAAATATGGAAAAGATACCATCTTTGAATCTGACAAATTTCTAGAAACATCGTCAGCGGCTGACAAAAAATTTATCGTGTAACGTTTCTTGTAAATACAAAAAAAAAGAATCCAAGGTGCTGAGTACTCACGTCAACAACGCATTCTTTTCCTTGAAGCTTCTTCACGATAACTTTCATGATGTAATGTGCACGCCGAAGCGTCCGTAAACCAAAACGAATGTGTAAAATCAAATTCTTCTCAAGAACGGGACCTTTAATGACACCGATAAGGATTCGAGCATTTTATTGTGAGGTTATATTTTGCGACACACGATATTACTAACACACGGCGTCATCAACTATTTCTACCGAGGACACGCGTACACATGCACACAGGTAGTCAGAAACCCTTAGACGTGCAAATACAGAAGTCGATACTGAACGTTCTTTATCGATAGATACGTGTCATCGAGATTTCCCTTTTCTTCTCTTTTTAAACATTTAATCAATCATTTTATTAAATTCTTATAAAATATTTCGAAACATTGTGAATTTTTTAATTTTATTAATTATTCTTTTACTATTTAAGAAAACGATGTTCACTTGTATCAAAAAATCATTTATTATACTTCGATACGATTTATCGATACTCATGTCATAAATTTTGGCGGTTAGTCTAAATGTTAATATTTTATTTTGAGGTTAAGTTATACATTTTTCGACTGATAAAAAACACATAAACATTAAGAAGAACAAAACAAATATTATGAGTAATGTTAAAGAAATGACAAAATTATTGGACGAAATTTGTATTGATCATTCTAAAGATATTAAAATTACCTGCAGAGATGATCTAACCCCGTATTTTAAAGCCTGGGATCACAGCAACAATAAAGTTCACTTGTCAAAGGTAAATATGTATATATATATGTAAATATATACACACATATATATATAAAAAAAAAGAATATATTTTATTTATTCCAATGAAATTTTTTGTTTTCTTATTTTTCTTATTTTCTCATTTAATTCAATTGTTAGTTTTTTGAAATATTACTAAAATGACAACATAATATGAGGTTATTAAGTATTGATAAAATTTAGAACATAGTTTGATTTTTTCTTAATAAATATTAAAAACATGATAAACATTATTTCAAATAGTATGCAACTTTCTACTGTTATAACTTTTAATTGTTCTTTTACAAATATAAAATTATAAATTAGTTATATCATTAATGAAATATATAAAATATTTAAAAATATTTATAAAAATGATTAAATTTTATAGAATCTCATAAAAAATGATTGAAAAAAAGCAAATAAATAACTATATTATATATATATATAATATACTATATATATATATAATATATATATATATATTCTATTATATTAATATAAGAATATAAAATAAACTTTTTTACAAATAAATATTATTTAATTGTTAAGCCATTGATTTTTTCAATAATACATTTCTAATTAATATTCATTCGTGAATAATTTTTCAAACAAAATGTATGTTTAATGTCATCTTCTCCATTTCAAATTTTTCTTAGGTACCACAAATATGTAAGGATGAACCGTGTCAGCTTGGTATCGACGAGGCTGGACGTGGGCCAGTCCTTGGGCCCATGGTTTATGGAATTTCTTACGCACCTCTATCCGAAAAACGGCTTCTCGTGGATCTAGGTTGTGCTGACTCCAAGAGTTTGACAGAGGAAAAAAGAGATACAATTTTCGATAAAATTTGTGAACAATACAAGACAATAGGTTGGGCTGTGGATGTCATATCTCCTAATGTTATTTCAAATAGCATGTATCGTCGTGTAAAAACTTCTCTGAACGAGGTGTCTATGAATTCCGCGATTGAGCTAGCTAAATTAGTGATTGAAGCTGGTGCAAGGATCACGGAGATCTATGTAGACACGATAGGTAAGCCAGAGAAGTATCAAGCCAAATTGGAACAAATTTTTCCAGATATAAAGATAACAGTCGCGAAGAAGGCCGACTCTACGTATCCTATTGTCAGTGCTGCCAGTATTTGCGCTAAAGTCTCTCGTGATCATGCTATAAGAGCTTGGCAATTTCTCGAAGGGTCGATAATGACAGAATACGGAAGTGGATATCCAAATGATCCAGAGACTAAAAAATGGCTGTCCGAAAATGTGGATCCCGTATTTGGGTTTCCGCGTATAGTCAGATTCAGCTGGTCTACCGCTGAAAAGATTCTGGAATCAGATGCCTTATCCGTTGAATGGGAAGAAATGGAAGACGTAAGGAATCCTGGGGAGCAAAAGATTTCCAGTTTCTTTGCCAAATCACCAGATAAATCTTTCAAATCTCAAAAAAAGCGGCATCAATTTTTTACCGAAAGATGCCTCTTCAATACTTCCACATTATGATTTTTCTAATTTATATGCGATACAAGTAATATATACACCCACACGCACGCATACAAAGTTACAATTAAAAAGCTATTTCTAAATTACTAAAATTTTTGTCTGATCCATCGATGTAAACGCCGTTTTATTTATCAGAACGTTAAATTAAAGATAAAAGTTCAATTTATGTACATATGTACAGTGTGCATTCTTACAGTAAAATACGATATGCAAAGAGTGGTTTTCCAACTCACTCTATGTATTTCACTTGTAACAATTAGGAATGTTATTTAGCGTAAAATATTCTTTGGTAAAATACACTCTACATTCACACACATACACACGATTCACAATAATTTCTAGAATAACATACATATCTCTGCAGTTGATTAATAGCGACTAGATTGATAAAAGCTATGTCAAGAACACTCTCACCGGATTAAAATGTTTTTTTGCTCTCATGCAACTGGACGATAGAAACACTCGTGTACAATTAGAATATAAATATGCTCAGCATTCATTCGTTCATTCATTCATTCGTTCATTGTTATTGATTATTATTTGTTCATTCATTTTGTGATTTCCTTAACAATAAAAGACAATAAAAGAGAAGGAAAGAAAAGTACATAGAGCGGCAATTTCAAGAATCTGAAGATACAAACATAGATTTATAAATCGAGTTTGTTTTTTAAACTTTGTTTTCTTGTATCAACAATTGAATAAAATCTTTTTTTCAAGTAACCATATGATGATATATTTAATGAATCCTTAAATTTCTATGCATCTTATATATAAAAATCTAGAATTTCAAAATTCAAATTTAAGGATTTTAAATTAAATCTATAAAAATATTTTAAATTCTAAAATTTAGAATTTAAATTTAAAAACTTTCAGAGATATATCAAGCTTGTACAAAGAGGCAGTATATAAAGAAAAAGTATCGAAAGTATACAAATTGATGGAAGATGCACAGAGATTTATAAAGTGATTCAGCAAGTACGAATTTACAACACCCGTCTTTTCATTCTCTAACTTTATAACATACTGACATATATTTTTATTAAGTATATTCTCTCGTCTATGTTCTCACTAACTTCACTAACTGCGATTATAAAAAATAGAAACAACACGGATAATTTAGTACACCAGAGATCTCCACATGTCACGATTTGAGGAGACCTGAAAAGGATGAGCACGAAAAGGACGATGCACCACATCTTGAGTCTTCTTATCGTAGAATCAATATACTTGTCATCAGAAGGAAGATGCATGGTGCTAACATGTTGCTTCCGCTTCCTGAAACATAAATTAAAAGTAGTATTGAATAAAGAAAAAAAGATAAAAAAAAATGTTATGAAAAAATTGAAACATATCGTGGCTTTAATTCAATCGATATTGGCGAGGAAATTGCATTCACAGTTTTTACTGACACACAAGTTTACTGACATCACGTATGCATCCATAAGTCAGCAAATTGTCGGCAAACGAACATGTCTCTGATTCGTTGTCACAATTTTTTTAACCATATTTCTACGTGGATAGATGGATTTTTCTTTCTTGGCATCGATCTTGACGATTAATGTTTCAGTAGTTTGGGATCATTTATAGATTTTTCTTTCCAGAGGAAAATATTGGAACATTTGAAACTGAAGATAGATTAACACATATTTTAAAAAATTTAAGATAATTAAGATTATTTTGAAATTATTAAATTACCATTTTAATTCAAATTTAAATTTGAATATAACAAATTTTTAAATTTATATATAATTTTTTTTAATTTTTAAATTTTACTAATATATAATTTTTATTAGTAAGTATCTTATGATATGTGATATTTATATGAATATAAAATTATTTATTACAATCTAATGAAATAATAAGTTATATATTATTATATAAATATATTATTAAAGAATATAAATGTGAAATATATTCATATATTCATATTGAAAAATTGGTATAATTATTATCATCCATAAATTTATTGTATGAGGGTTACTTCAAATGATATATCATGATTTTCATATTATTGGAAAGAATTTCATATTTCTATAATATCTTTCTTTAATAATCGATAAATTATCAACTATGATTTTTGTTATTAACAAAACCTTTTTTTATCGATATATATTAATTTTCATAATAAATAAATCATATAATTAATCTATTTTGAACATATTTTTTATAGGATCCATATAAAATGAAAAATGAGAACCACTGAATCTCCTCCGCCAAGTGCACGCGTCCTTAAGCGATCTCTTCAAAGTGCTTTTCCTTCAGAATAGAAGCTTCCACGAAAAAACTGTCGTTCTACATTTTTGATGCTTTTCGTCCAGAGGAATAACTTTTTTATGACTTTACTTTGAGAAATATCATACAGGATAATTTAAATATATATTCCAGACAGCACGTGTCTTAGAGATGTCCATTTCAAATCATAACGTCATAAACGTATTAAAATATAATACAAGAAGAGTTGAAAATCAATCATATATATTTATATGTATCATTTTCTTACCCCCTAAGATATGTTCCGCATGCGTATGGCCTTGCGCCCTTGTCTCCCTGCTCTCCATAACGGGCATCTTGAGGGGCCTTTCACCCTCTATGCTGAGCTCGTTCGATTTCCAATATACAGTCGCTATCGTTGCCAGGCATTTGATCTTCAGATCACCCCTCTTAAAGTGCTTCGTACGCAGACGAAACTCCAGACCTAGCACAGCCGTTTCCAAACCCTCGCGATCCACCTCGGTGATGTGAGGCCCTCTTAAGTATTGCGTGTCAACCTGAGTCAAAAAAAAAAAAAAAAAAAAAAAACAGAAAGATGGAAAAAATGAGACCAAAAAGTTGTTTCTCATATATTACATGTTTAAGAAAAATAAAAGCATTTGTGATTTTGCTCGTCACATTTGAACACGTGATCAAGTTGGATTGCGCTTCAACAGACTTTGAAAAAATAATTGACATGCAAGAGGAGAGAAATAATTTATTAACAAATGTTTAACCAAAATCTGGATTGGATAATTATTAACAGAACAGACGATAAAGAATCTATTATATGACTATAAAAGATTTTTATAAAAACTATTCTTTTCGTAGAGAGATTTTGAATTCAGATCAAAGAAAATGGCGAATTGAATGAAGTGTTAAATTATTTATGTTTAATATTTATTGAAAAGTGATGAACAAGAATATCCGGGTTAAATAATATGGGTCATATTACATGGGATATACGTAGAGATCATAAAATTAGTCGAAGTTAAGATAAGCATGTTTTGTCTTTCTGCGCAAGGAAATTGACAGAAATGCGAGGAGATAAGAACTTGAAACTTTGACTAAGACTTTAACGAAGTTATCCCATTTTATTTAAATATTGGGCACATAATTTCTTGCAACGTAAAGAATACAATTTTTTCAATATTTTAATCATTTAACTTTTTATAGAAATTTAAACTGATATTTTTAAAAAAAATTGTTTCTCTTTGTTCAAATTCATATTTAATCTCTCTTTAAACATAAAAATGAATATCTTATATTCATAATCTTTAAAAAATTATAATATTTTCAAGCAATTGTGAGAATTTTTTCTTAATATCTCTATTTCCAAGTAATCATATAAGCGCATATAATGGTATCCATAAATGGTGTTGTTCTGATGGAATGAATTTACAACGCTACCACACCATTTATAACACTTCAATTAGTCGCTTTAAACGATCCGCATCGCTCGTCCAATTAACGCAACATCGTTGCCTGATGCAACATCACGCTATATTTGTTCTTCTGAAAATCGATATACTTGTGGTAAGGGCAAGAATAACGGATAATGGAAGAATTTGAACTTGACTGGTGCAATTACAGGGATAAGAGTAAGGATAAAAGAAATGTCACAGAATTTCACAACACTTTGACAACCGTGAACGATTTAACACCGTCACATTTTTAAGTCACTTACAGGCTCCCCGTTGATGAACCAGCTGAGTATGGCAGCTGGTTTCGATTTCGCCGAAGTGCAATTGAACCGAACCACATCACCGACCTGATAACGATGCCTTCCTGGTCTACCAGTGATAATGGGACCGTCTTCCGGTAGAGCTGCAATTTGTTACAATTTTTCGTTACAATTACTTTTAAACTACTTTTTACTATTAAAATTATAAGAATGAGAAAAAATTATGAAGAAATAACAAAAAATTATTTCAAAGAGTTATTACTATTAATTTAGTTTTTTCTTTTTGATACTTTCGTTTTTAAATTATTTTATAATTTTTAAATCATTATTTTATCATTTTAAAATCTTTCTTTTATTTTTTGAATGGTAAATGTGTGCAATTTGTGCAATTATTTTGAAATTTAGAAAAGTGCATAATTTTTTTTTAAAAATGGAATAAAATTTTACAATTTCTACTAACTATACTATAAAAAAAAATGATTAATGGTAATATAAAATAAAATTAATATTAAATTTAATATTAAAATTCAGAATATAAAATCTGAATTCAAACAACTTAATTAATCTTGTTTAATTTTAACTATTAAAATGATGCTCTTTTATTAAAATTATTTAAAATTATATTAACTTTTCTTCCACAATATAAAGATAAATCTTTTTTTTTTTTTTTTTAAGAAAGAAACAAATATAGTTTAAAATTGATTTATTTTTCTCTATGGTAAATGGAATGGAACTAATGGTAAATCTCTATGGATCTGTCACAGTAGGTTCAACAGAGAAAAGATGGTTGGTATTTTTGTTGGGTTGAAAAAAAAACACTTCCTGCTTGTGAAGGAAATATCAACCAATGCAACAATTTATAAACGTTTCTTACCCACTACCAGCATGTCCGAGTGATCGGAAACCGTTTGAAAATATGGCGCCTCGGCTAACACTTCACATCTGTATCTTCCGGTGCTCATTAAATTCACAGAATGGAGAACGACCGATCTTTCGGTTGAATTGTGAATCTAGAAAAGAAAATGGTTCTCTCTGTATTTTCTTGAACCAATTAATTAAACTTATACCATTCCTCGAATCGTTTAACTATTCTAACCTCTTATATATTAGTGAATTCTTCCTAGTAACATTATATGTTTGCTAAAAAATTATTTTTAATTAAAAACATTAATCTTATGGTATAATAGTTTTATTATATTATTAATCTGTTAGTATTATATTTGTATTAAATACTTATATATTTATATAATTTTACAATTACAAAAAATATTTTCATATTATTTTATTTATTTATTAGTATTAATACATTATTTAATTTTATATCCATTATTTTTTATATTTTTTTAATATTTTCATATGACTATAAAAATTTAATATTCATTAAAATAGCAATATGATATTTTAGATATATTTTCTAAAAAAATTAATTTTTGTCAAAAAATTATATAAACTTTTATTTTTTAATAAAAAAATAAAATAAATATATTAATAAATTCTAATTTTCAGAATTTTAGAAAATTAGCGTTCCAAAATATTCCATAATATAATAATATGGATAGAATTAGATGGAAAGTTGATGTTTCTACATTTCTGACGTTTCTATATTCTATTCGCCAAAGATAAAAGAAATTTCAGATACGAAAAATTCTGGTGAAATTAGATACACCGGAAACAGGTCTAAAAGGAAGCCGGGCAATGATACGCAATAAAAATGAGAAGCAACGATCTTTAAATAGAAAATACCACGATGTAAGGGGGTGCAATGGCACGAGACAAGGGAAAAAAATCAATACAATATGATTCTTACGTTCGCCGTGACACCTGGCAGCTGAAAAACGAGCACAGGCGGCCTTTCCTGTGGTACGTATCGATAGAACTCGTTTCCGTCTTTGTACCATTTCACTGAGTACAACGTTTCCCCATCCAGATTGAAGTTGCATTCTAGTTTGATATTTTGACCACGGACTACGTGCTGCGGTACCACCAGTTCCAGCATCCTCAACGCAATCGTATCTGAAATCAAACAGGAAATTAACTGGAAAATAATTATTAAGAATAATTTGAAAATTTAATATCAATATATGTTAAAATTACATTAGAAATCAAGAAATTAGGCTAAATAATATGAAGTTACAGTACAGTTACAACTGGATTAGTAAATTATATATAGGTTATAATATCAATTCCTTAAGATCTATTTATAGATTAAATCTAGATTGTAATAATATGCATTAAATTAAATTTGAATTAAATTTTTATTAATTTTGGAAAAGAATAAAATATTATATTTCTTGAATACCAATTTTAAATGAATTGGGTCTAATAAATGAAAATAATTGGGTCTAACAAATGAAAATAATAAGCATACACTAGAACTGGATTAAACCTAAATTTAATAGATCTAGATTTAAGTTTGATTTGGATTAAAATATCAAATCTAAAGATTTGGATTAAATTTATTATATCCAAATCAAACTTGAGTTAACCTCTGCTCTACATCATATCTAAAGTACTTTACTCTACCTTTTTCCTAAAATTTAATAGAAAATAGAGGCTTATATAACTTGATATTCCTTGGATCTATATCATTATAAAAGACAAAAGTATCAGAACTCTTTATAACACCTATCATTTTCTAAAACAAACTTATCGTCTCTATAAATCGTTTGTGGAGAATAGAGATGGCAGAAAGGACTTACAAATTCTCGAAGCTTCAAAGAGAAAACTCCAGAGAGCGCGGGAATCGAAGCGTGACAGCGATAATCGTGTCGGCCAATGAATCGTTCGACGTTGGGAACGTGAAGCCATTCTCACGCGTGTTTGTGCACCGTTTCGAACAACGAGAGAACAATTCCATCGAATTGCCTTTTAACCTTCCGTTGATCCGATGCAACGTTTTTCCGAGCTTCGAGTTTTCCACGCGATCGTCCTCGTAACCGTGCACGCGATCGTTCCCTGAAAAAGGTTGTGGGGAAGCTTCTGCCGAATGTATTTCTCGATGGAAAACAGAGAACAGTAACTGGAATATTTTCATTTTCGAACGAATTTTCCTGCTCGAATGTGTGTTTCTCACATGTCTCGGTATCTCGATGAAACGATATTGAAAATGGATGAAAATGAATTGCTAATTAGCATGGATAGTAATTAGTGTTACTGATAAAGCGAGAGTTTATACGTGGAAAAGCAAAATGAAATACTGAAATACTTTTTTTAACGATAAGATATCCGAAACATGATATTTTAATTTGAAGAAGAAATAATATACGTTAGCAAAAAAAGAATAAATATTTTATATTAAATATTATAAATATCACAATATAAATTAAATTTAACAAAGATATGAATTTTAGGAAATATAATTTTTCGGGGAAATATTCGATGGTAAATTGTAATTATTTTATAATGTTAATTAGAGTTGATGGCAATTAAATGGCAATTACTATCATATCTTGGCTGAATTTATGTTATTTGACATAGCTTGAACAAACTATTGATTCATCAGCTTCTGTTTTGATATTTTGAATTAATTTGCAATATTAACAGTTTATGGAACAGGCGCTTTTAGCATGAACAATGGTTCATTCCCGGAGGCAATTTCAGAAAATGAAAATATAATTCATCTTTTTCTTTCAATTGTTATGTTTTTTTAAAATGATTGAAATATTTATATGAATATTTTAAAAATATATTGTATATTAAATTCTATAATTTAATTTTCTAAATATTTAATTCCTAAATAATATTTATTTAAAATTATTTAAATGACAATCGAAATAATTATACAATATATTTACAAATTACAATTTGATTTTACATTTCATTATTTGTATCGTCTATACACTATATTAATATAAATTTTAAAGCATATTTATTAATTGCAAAAGTATAGAATAATAAAATAAAATTTAATTCAATAAACTTACTAATTTATTCCAATAATATTGTTTTTTAGCAAATTTTTTAGCAAAAAACTATTTGATTTGATTTTGAATAAATTACTTTGATTTTTTGAATTCATTAAAAAAATATTCATTTGTCAAAATAATTCTAAAAAATTGTTACTACCATAAGAATATAATCTATGCTAATTTTTTTAGATTTTGTAAAACACGAACGTAATATCAATTTATGCAATTTATGCAATTCGTCGCTGTATCTTTATGAAACGAAGGGAGAAAGAGAGAGTTTGCAAGGAATTATGAGAGAAATAAAAGGATAAAGAGCTATTCCTATCGCTTATCTCGTGGCACGCTTCGATTTCATTTTCCTCGACTTTTTTAGCCCCATTACTTTTAAACGCGACGGGCATTAACTTCAGAATCGGCCGACATTAAGGACACACTTTGTAACAAAGAGAATTATCTTCTGTCGTAGCAGAGGAAGAATCATTGTCAGGTGCTCCAGAACAGAAAGAGGAAATCTCAACATTCGTGTAAATGCAAGACACTTCAATCTAAAACCGAGTCTAGAAACATTTTTTTTTTTTTTCCTCCCTCCAATTGTTGTTCCTCAACGATTTTGTTCTACTGAAGAATTCTCCAATTCATAGAGCGTGTAATTTTTTCACTTGTGCTTTATAACAAGTTAGAAAAAAAAAAGTTCATAGAAACGAATTTCGAACATTTTTTTTCTGTTCTGTCGATAAAATAGTATACCATTCTTTACCGCCGCGAGTTAATATCCCTAAACGACACTACAGATTGTCGTAAAATTACTAAAATTAAATTAGAACACCTTCTACATCCTCTGGAAAAAAAAACAATTATCTTTTATCGAGTGACCTATTTTACCGAGCATCGTTTTTCATTAAAGAAAATAACTTAAAAGTTAATCAATCTGATAATTGATTACACTTTTAATATTTATCATGTGCATATGTATCATGTAACATGTTCCTCTTTTTATTAATCTCTTATCGTTGAAATTTAATCAAGATTATGTATATAATATATTGATTTTATTTTATTTAACAATTTTTTTTATTAAATTAGAATCATTAGAAATCTTAATCTTATGCAAATCATTAATACACATCATTGTTATTTATAATTAATTATTATAAAATTTCAATTGAATATTAAAATCTTTTTGTATTTATGAATTAAACTTATAATTTTTTTTAATACAATTAATCATTATATCTCTAAAATTCACAAAATTAAATATATCTCATTGTCTTTTCAATTATATTTCGACTTTTCAAAAATTTTTGCAATAATCACAAAATTTAAAATAAAGATTATAGAGAATCAGAAGATAGTGGAATAAAAGATAAAACGAAGGATGGAATGGGACCATGTGGGGTATTCTCGAAGAGAAAAAGTGGCATTCTTTGAAGAAAAGATAGTGAAACCTAGCGAGCTGTGGTATCTGGCCCGGAAAAGTCGCGTGGCATGAGTAGAAAAAAGTCTTGTTCCTCCAATTGTCGAGGGTCGTGATTCACAGCTGCAAAAACCGATCCAATTATTCCACGAATGCCTGGGGCGGGCCACTTTTATCGGCGCGGAACCGGCGCCGTTGATGCATCGATCGTAGCGCCACGTTGCGGCAACACGCAGAATTTTTCCACCGAGCAAGTTGTCGCCTCGCAACTAGCGCGGAATTGCGGCTTTGTTTCTGGTTGATGCGCGACAACTTTTCTTTTCACTCTAATGTGTTCTTGTTTTCTGACTCTTCTTTCGCGTTACAAAAATGATTACATAAAATCTGACGAATGTTCCAGTATTATTTTTTTTATTTTTTTAAGTAAGTTGATGGCGATTAGTTATATTTATGTTTAAGAATTATTTTTAAGAATTATTTTAGAAATATTCAGACAATTATGACAAACTCTGGAGTGAATTCTTAAATAGGAAATCCTTTAAATAATATGGATTATTATTAGGAGAGAAGATACTTTCTATTAAGGATAATAGGATTTATAGCTAAATCGTATATAATGATAATAGTTTGATTATATATGTTTTATGATTATATATAGTTAGGTTTCCTAGCTAATTAGCAACATATAATGACTATAATACATTATTACTGAACTAATATTAATCTGTATAGATTAACTCATACGAAATATACTAGACCAGTGGAGAGATTTAAGAAGAACAATGGTCTATGAATTTGGCAACTATTATAACCTAACCTGTACAGAAAGGATTCAATGAAATCTATATAGATTGCGACTACGATCAAATTTTCTAGAACAATTTTATATTCTCGAATTGAGTCGTATTTAAAAATTGAGGATATTTTTTACACGAAAAAGGCAGGATTGGCTCGGGGACAAATATTTTTCCATCGGTCTGGAAATCGCTTGTTACTTTGCACCGTAGGTGCTCTTGGATCGACAAAGAGTTGCTTTTCGTTGAATCCACGGAGTGTCGGCAGAGTCGAAGAAGGGTGGTACGATGGTCAAAGAAAAGAAAAGAAAAAGAAAAAAAAAAAGGAAGAAATCACAGCGGTAGCTGTTGTCTGAGAGAGATGACGAACGTGAGAGTGGTTATTAAAGGAGACAGAAAGGGAGAGGACGATAAGAAAGAAGGGTAAGGCTGACGTGAATAGTGATGTAAATGGCGTGGCGTTGGCAGTGAAAGGGAAAAGGGAAGAAAACCGTGATAAGTGTGAAGACTACGAAGGAAAGAATGAAAGAGAGATAAGAAGGCTCGATAACGAGCGGGAGAGTGAAAAGAGGGTGGAACGGTAGAAGGGAGAGAGTGGAAAAAAGGAAAGTCGGCTACTGGGAGGAGAAAAGATACGGAACTGTAAAAACATTAGACGTTTCTTTGACGCCTGTCACTGTGTGCCACCGTCGCCATTATTTCACTCTGTATTTCCTTTCATTTGGATCTTGACTTTACCCATAGAAACATCGAGTCTTCCTTTAAGATGGAGCAAATTCTTACAAAAAAAAAAAAAAGCTTTATTTCACATGTTAATTTAAATAATTGACGATGAAGACACATGTATTTATACATATATTGCATATATTAAGAATAGAAGAATTTTAATCATTAATATTTAAATGATTAAAGATTGCAAAAGAGTATTCTACGCATAACATAAACGACACCGTAAAATTGAAAATTTCTTGACGATACTACGTCGAGAAATTTGGTTCTCCTCATCGTAGAATCAATCCTGCGTCGAAATGCTGCCGCATAAGCAAAAGGAAAGTTCTATTTCGATCCACCCTAGCGGCAGACACTCTCACCCTCGATAAACGAAAGAAGAAGTCGAAACTGAAAGTCGCGTGGTTGTGAAAAAAAAGGTCCTAGTAAGCCAACCCCCGGAAAGGGGATTGTCGCTTTGGAAGGAAAGGCAGGGTTAGCTTGGCGAAATAACGAGTGGTGGTTGAGAACGTCGCGAATATGATTCATTCCTGTTCCGTTACGAATGATAACTCATGCATATTGAACGGCAGGGGGTCTGATTTGTTCTGTGAGTCAGTCGTTGCACGCGTCTCGGCGCCTGCACCGTGTCATGCCGTTGCTCCAGGCTCGCTTCTGTATTGGTAACCAGAAATGGGGATGAGTAAGGGCGCATTGAGTCGCTTTTATCGAGTCTAGATCGCGTGAGCATTTTAACTTTAAGGGAGATAAAGATAGAGATAGAGAAAGAGATATATATATATATATATATATATATATATAGAGAGAGAGAGAGAGAGAGAGAGAGAGAGAGAAAGAGGAAGAATCGGTATGCCTCCGACTTCATTGTTAATTAGGTCGATGACGACGTTCCTCCTTAACAGCAACCTCGATATTCCGGGCAACGAACGCGAAGCAATTTCGATTTTAGTTAATAAATGGTGAGCATTGGTCTATGCTGGATCAAAATCCTCTCAAAATTCTATCAATTACGCCATCGAGAAAAGCCTATTCTCTACTTGTAGAAATGGGTATATCGATTGTAATTGATTCTCAATTGACACGATGATGGAAAAACTGATTTTCCCTTTG